AATACATAAAATCCTAGAGAAAATAGGTCGGTTTTGAAATTTATGGGTCACGTGGTTTTGTTTTTTAGGGGGGGGGGGGGGGATTTTTTTCTGGGCTAAACTCCTCCTTTAAAACTCAACCCCTGGTAGTTTTTGCTTTTCTTATCTCTTCTCTTAAGATAATTGTTAAAAAATATATAAAGTGCTAGATCTAAGGTGATCTTGACAAAATACATAAGATCCTAGAGAAAATAGGGCGGTTTTGAAATTTATGGGTCACGTGGTTTTGTTTTTTAGGGGGGGGGGGAGGCTTTTTATCTGGGCTCAACTCCTCCTTTAAAACTCAACCCCTGGTAGTTTCTGCATTTCTTATCTCTTCTCTGTCTTTGATTGATTGATTGATTTGATATTTATATCGCGCCGGTATCCATGCCATTGTAGCATGCTCACTGCTCACTGCTCACTGCTCACTGCTCACTGCGTTCTGGTCCTCCGAAATCTATTTAAACAAACAAGGTTTTAATTGTTTCTTAAATGATTTTTTTTTATCATTTACAATTCCCCTCAAAGATTGAGGCAAACTGTTCCATAATTTTCCGTACGTCTTTTTTGTGTGTTCATCCACACTAGGAACACTCAGTAAGTACTGTGAAGAAGAACGCAGGCTCTTCACGGATGCATGTTTATAAATCAGTTCCTTGAGATATCCCGGTGCTGAGCCATCTCTGCAGCTGTACGCTAGGGGCAGAATTTAGTAGTTAATGCGGTCACTCACAGGAACCCAATGGAGATCTCGTAGAACTGGGGTGATGTGGTCAGATTTTTTCATCCGCGATACAATGCGTGTTGCAGTATTTTGTATCTTTTGGAGTCTCTGAGTTTGGTTCTGATGTAAACCCCACCAACAACTGTTACAGTAATCTAACCTTGACTGGATTAGAGTTACCGCTACAGCATTGGCTGTTCTCCTATTGAGTTGAGGACGCAGCTGACCAAGGGCGCGTAGATGACAGAAGCATGGCTTGACCACAGAACTGATATGGGGAATCATACTAAGTTTACTGTCAATATAAAAGCCAAGGTCTCTGACAGTCGAGGACAACAGGATCTCTGATTCACCAACTTTTATTGATGCAATGGTAACTTTCCGAAGATTGGCGTCTGAACCACAAATAATTGCCTCTGTCTTATCATCATTTAATTTTAGTCTGTTTGATGACATCCAATCTTTCACAGCAAGACAGCAGTCCTCGACAGCCTGAACAGCAGTAGCACACTCCAAGGGATCAGGGCGGAAACACGTGTATAGTTCTGTGTCATCTGCAAATATTTTGCGGGAAATACAATGATTTCCAATAATTTCGCCAGACATCTTTTTGTGTGTGTGTGTGTGTGTGTGTGTGTTTTGTTTTAAATGTTTATCGAGCATTTTTTTTTAAATTTTGATTCAAACCTTAATTACACGAAACAATAATAACATAACAATAACATGTATCGTGCACAATGATAAATGTTATTGTTATGTTAGTATTGTTTCGTATATTTAAAGTTTATATCAAATTTCAATTATTTTTTTTAAATTCAAACTTTAAAAAAAAATATAGGAAACAATAATAGCAAAACAAAAACAGCTACCGTGCACAGTGGGGAGATTGGTCTAGTTTGAATTCAAAGTTGCACTCCAAAGATGAGCACATTGTGTTAAGTTACAGGTGTTTCAATATGATTACGCCTATTCGCGTGTTGGTGAATACAAATAATGTGTCACATGACGTTCATTATTGCTCTTTAGTTCAAAGCAGGTCGAATTCGTTAGTAGGATCGATGTTCCAGATAAAAAAAAAAAATAAATGAAAAAAATAATAAAAGTTAGTCAACTGATGGGAATCGCTAGTTAATTTTTACCCATGAATATGGCTTCATGGATGGGTTCGAGAACTAGAATTATGGTCAAATTGTTTATCTTTATTAGAAGTTTCGTAATCATACAAATCATTTAGATTCAAGAGAATGGATGTACAGGGTACACAAACACATCGCTGTGATCAAAGAACGGAACAAACAGAATAGAAACGAAAGAACAGAATGAATAGAACAGAAAGAATAGAATAGAAAAGAAAGAATAGAACCGAACAGAAAGAATAGAACTGAACGAATAGAAAAGAACATATAGAAATAAATAGAACATAAAAAATAGAACTGATGAGATAGAATTGAACAAAAAGATCAGAACAGATAGAATAGTAGAATGTAACAGAAATAATTGAACAGAAAGAATAGAACAGAAAGAATATAAGAGAACAGAAAGAATAGAGTTACAGGTTTATCGGAATATCAAGACCGTAAAGAACAAGGAGCACTGCATGCGCGGAGCAATACCTGCACGGAGCACTACCAACATGGAGCACTGCCTGCACGGAGCACTGACACGGAGCACTGCCTGCTCGGAGCACTTACACGTAGCACTGCCTGCACGGAGCACTTACACGGAGCACTGCCTGCACGGAGCACTTACACGGAGCACTGCCTGCACTGAGCACTTACACGGAGCACTGCCTGCACGGAGCACTTACACGGAGCACTGCCTGCACGGAGCACTCCCTGCAAAAGGGACCCGCAAATGTGGATTTTTATTTTTAAAAATGTCTGCAATTTATAAAATTACCTTTGATACAAATAATACAATTGTTTTGAAGTTTGCGGGAGCCCGAAATAAGGATTTGCTCCGTGTTCAAAATACCCCTGCACGGCGCTGTGTAGTAATAAGTGTTTGTGGGATTGGGGTGGAAAGGTGTGATGCGTGATCCATGATGTACTGATGCCTGGTCAATGGTGTACTGATGGGTGGGTGATCAATGGTGTACTGATGGGTGGGTGATCAATGGTGTACTGATGCCTGGTCAATGGTGTACTGATGGATGGTTGATCAATGGTGTACTGATGGGTGGGTGATCAATGGTGTACTGATGGGTGATCAATGGTGTACTGATGCCTGGTCAATGGTGTACTGATGGATGGGTGATCAATGGTGTACTGATGGGTGGGTGATCAATGGTGTACTGATGGGTGATCAATGGTGTTCTGATGCCTGATCAATGGTTTACTAATGGGTGGGTGATTAATGGTGTGCTGATGGGTGGGTGATCCATGGTGCACTGTTGCCTGGTCAAGGGTGTACTAATGCTTGGTCAATGGTGTACTGGTGGGTGGGTGATCAATGGTCTACTGATGTCTGGTCAAGGGTGTACTGATACGTGGTCAATGGTGTACTGATGGGTAATCAATGGGGTACTGTTGCCTGGTCAATGGTATACTGTTGCCTGGTCAAGGGTGTTCTGATGCGTGGTCAATGGTGTACTGATGCCTGGTCAATGGTGTACTGATGCCCGGTCAATGGTGTACTGATGTCTGGTCAATGGTGTACTGTTGCCTGGTCAATGGTGTACTGATGTCTGATCAATGGTGTTCTAATGGTTGGGTGATCAATGGTGTACTGATGGGTGGGTGATCAATGGTGTACCGTTGTCTAGTCAATGGTGTACTGATGTCTGGTCAAGGGTGTACTGATGCGTTGTCAATGGTGTACTGATGGGTGGGTGATCAATTGTGTACTGATGCCTGGTCAATGGTGTACTGTTGCCTGGTCAATGGTGTACTGATGCTTGTTCAAAGGAACAGGTGTTGTACCTCTAGTTCCCATTCTGAAAACTGTATGTTAGTCACCTGAGTTAAGCCTTTCGAGAGTTCATTGGACCTTACGCTAGCACAGTCAGTTGAACTATCTCTTTGCCTGATGCAACAAGGGAAATAAGCACATTTTAGAGTTCCATATTAATCAACACACTGCTATAATTTTATTCATTTCTGTGTAGGTCGATTTTCTGTCTTTATTCGTGTTCGATTCCATTTACTAAATTACCTTTTATATTAGAGCATTGATTGTGTTCATTTTAGCCAGCAGTGGGTCTAAACTCTGCATGTGTTAGCCCCCTCTTTGAATTCTCCTCTTGACTCTAGACCACGAGCTTTATTTTTATTCTTGAGATACGACATAACAATCTCAAGTTTTTACAACAAGCTGTCACTGATGACTTGGGCTGGGCTTAACAACAGAGCCCCATTGTTTTTCAGATCATTTACAAGCTGTCACTGATGACTTGGGCTGGGCTTAACAACAGAGCCCCATTGTTTTTCAGATCATTTACAAGCTGTCACTGATGACTTGGGCTGGGCTTAACAACAGAGCCCCATTGTTTTTCAGATCATTTAAAGGGTGTGCGAAAATTTCCTGTGATTTTGGGGAGGGAATTGCTAGGCGGATGGGGTAAGGTTAATAGATTCTCACATCTTTGAGATTGGGGGGGGGGGTGTTTCTTCCCCCCCCCCACCAAAAAAATAAATAAATTATGTCTCGGACCTTCCAGATTTCGCATTATAATTTTGGTGTTAAGTTCCTAATTGACCGGAATGGGTTAGTATCCAGCATTCCTGGACCGCCTAGTGAGGTAAAGAATTGCATATAAGATGGAACTCTTCGATACACAGGGGAGTTAGAGATTCGTGGACGGTCATTATGAAGTGGTAGACGCAGCGATACTAGACATGATCAAGGATAGAACCGGTAATAAACACCGTTAGTGGTAGAGTTAGGAAAGAAACTTTACTGAATTTGTTATGTTATATTCGTCCAATTGTAAACAATCTCTAACTGTTGCTGAGGAGTTGTTTGATCATTCGTCAGTGTGCTGTGTTTTCCTCATTGTTCTTCTGAACGCCTGGTCTAGTGAACCAACACAGAGAGGAACGGCCCTCGTACTATTCACTACACGACCAACACCATAGGTACGGGCCTTTCCCCACAACACCCTCCCATCTGTGACACAGTTGTCACACAGAACAGACTTTGAAATAATTACATGAAATACAAGATAACCCCCCCCTCCCTTACCCCACTATCCGCTTAATTCTACTTGTATTATCGTGAACTGTTGTAAACTAGAACACGTGTTCATGCTGGCTGACACCTGATGTCAAGGAAGACTTGGAGGATCAGAAACACGCATGAACCAGGTGGAGCAATGATGTGGCTCCTAATGTCCAGTCAGGTTATCCTGTGTGCGGCTTTACTTGTTGGGGTCCAGTCAAGGCCACGAGCCGTCAGACAGGTGAGTGCGCAGGTAGGGTGGGTAAGTCGGAAGCCAGGTGTGTGGGCAGGTAGATGTGTGGGCAGGTAGATGTGTGGGCAGGTAGATGTGTGGGCAGGTAGATGTGTGGGCAGGTAGATGTGTGGGCAGGTAGGAGGGTGGGGAGGTAGATGTGTGGGCAGCTAGCTGGGTGGGGAGGCAGGTTATATCTCGTTCTACTTTGTTTCATTATTGCTATATTTTCTTAGATCTTGTTCTATTTTCGAGCTTAGTGCTATATTGTCATATCTATTTCTGTTTTGTTATATATATATATATATATATATATATATATATATATATATATATATATATATATATGATAAATTTTACGCTATATTTTTATATCTGACATCTGTGTACATCTCTATGTTATATTTTTTTATATTTTTTTCTATTTTTGAGCTTAGTGATATATTGTCATATATATTTTTGTTTTGTTATATATATATATATATATATATATATATATATATATATATATATATATATATATATGATAAAGTTTACGCCATATTGTTATATCTGACATCTGTGTACAACTCTATGAGATGTTACCTTACAATCACAGGCTGAGCCCAACAGTGATGAGTTCACTACAGTCACGACTACTTACGGTCCTCTCAGGGGCAGGAAACTTCACATCAATGACGTCATGGACTTGGAAGTGTTTCTGGGCGTGCCGTATGCCAGTTCTCCAACAGGTTACTGAGTCGGTTCTTCTGACAAGTCGTTTACGCTCGGTTCATGCGTGCTGGTTATTGAAGACATGAGCCATATTTGGCCGACGGAAATCCAAGAAGAATCCATGTTTATATACGTGACCGGAAATTTGATCGAAAGAAATTTCGTCGACAGTAAATCGATCGAAGGTAATTTGATCGAACAGAAATTTGGTCGAATCTTTTTTTTTTCTTCAGTTTTTTTCCTTAAAATTTTGCTTCAAATTTCTTTTTGAGCGCATAATTTTGTTTAACTATATAGTATAGTGATAGTGCGTTCAAAAAGAAATTTGACGAAAATTTTAACCTGTGAACTGAAAAAAAAAAAGAAAAGATTCGACCAAATTTCCGTTCGATCAAATCTCCGTCGATCAATTTACCGTCGACGAAATTTCTTTTGAACAAATTTCCGGTAACCTTCCTATGGACAATGGAGTAGCTATAGTTTGTGACGCCCGGGCCGATTGTGAACTAGTTTGTGTGGATCGTAGCTTATAAAACAGTGATACCATTCGGTGTCATCTTTGACGGGAAGTATTGACACTATTAGAAACGGTGGTACCTTTGACGTGAAGAATTGTCCCTATTTGAAAAGAAGTTTCAGCAGACAATGTCACTTTCCTATAATTATTTGGTTATTTCTACCAACCTTCCGTTGAATTTTTTATCCATAGAAAAATTCGTTCATTAAAAATTTCTACCAACGTTTTTTCTACCAATTAGGTCAACTTAGACTCGCGAAGCCAGAGGTCCCCGAGCCATGGACAGAGACCAGGGATGCATTGGAACATGGAGCCAAATGTCTACAGAGGATTATCCCCGATGATCCGCCAATGGTCAGCGTCCCTTTCGAGGAGGATTGTCTCTTCCTGGACATCTATAGCCCCAGGTAGATAGGGGCGGGGTGGGGGGGGGGCACGCGGGCACAACACTTGGTGTTCTTTGGTTCAATGTTTTTTGGCGTTCTTTGGCTCAATGTTTTTTGGCGTTCTTTGGTTCAATGTTCTTGGGCGTTCTTTGGTTCAATATTCTTTGGCGTTCTTTGGCGTTCTTTGGCGTTCTTTGGCTCAATGTTCTTTGGCGTTCTTTAGTTCAATGTTCTTTGGCATTCTTTAGTTCTATGTTCTTTGGCATTCTTTAGTTAAATGTTCTTTGGCGTTCTTTAGTTCAATGTTCTTTGGGATTCTTTAGTTCATTGTTCTTTGGCATTCTTTAGTTTAATGTTATTTGGCCTTCTTTAGTTCAATGTTCTTGGCGTTCTTTAGTTCAATGTTCTTGGCGTTCTTTAGTTCAATGTTATTTGGCATTCTTTAGTTTATGTTCTTTTGCGTTCTTTAGTTCAATGTTATTTGGCATTCTTTAGTTCTATGTTCTTTGGCATTCTTTAGTTAAATGTTCTTTGGCGTTCTTTAGTTCAATGTTCTTTGGCATTCTTTAGTTCATTGTTCTTTGGCATTCTTTAGTTTAATGTTATTTGGCCTTCTTTATTTCAATGTTCTTGGCGTTCTTTAGTTCAATGTTCTTGGCGTTCTTTAGTTCAATGTTATTTGGCATTCTTTAGTTTATGTTCTTTTGCGTTCTTTAGTTCAATGTTATTTGGCATTCTTTAGTTCTATGTTCTTTGGCATTCTTTAGTTCTATGTTCTTTGGCGTTCTTAGCTCTATGTTCTTTGGTGTGTGTTAGTTTAATGTTATTTTGCGTTCAATGTTCTGTGGCGTTAGTTCAATGTTCTTTGGCGTTCAATGCTCTCTGGCGTTCTTTAGTTCGGTGTTATTTGTTTCGTTTCATTCACTGGTGAATGATTTTATTTTTTCAACAGCTTCTGTTTACATCTCGTTTCACAGCTACAGAAATGCAACCAAAGTCCCCGTGATGATGTTCATCCATGGGGGTGGCTTTTATGGGGGCTCCGGGGCCCTCTACAACTTCACGAATGTGGCGCTCAGGGGGGTCACCGTCGTCTCGGTCAGTTACAGGTAAGTTTGGCTCGGGTAACGGTGGAGTAGGCGTATTTACCTTTGACGGGTTCAATTCAGCCGTACAACGTGTAGATGTTCGTTGTAGTTGTGGTGATGGTGACGGCATGCTGGGCTGCAGCAGGCAACACAAAATCAGTGTTTTAATAAAAAGTAGATTTAAAAAGTTTCTTAAAATTTCTCATATGCATTAAGCAAATGGTAATAAGGCACTCTATGAAGCCAAAGGATTCGAATTAGATGTAAAAGAAATTTAAATGTGTTTTTTTATAAATGTTTTTAACTTTTTTTTCTGCACAGACTTCCTTTGACTAATGCATATTCAAAGTCTTTTTTTTTTTTAAAGTTTCTTTAAAACTTATAATTCTTTTAAAAATTTTTGCACTTTTAAATTATGAAAATTTTAATCTGTAATTTATCCACAAAGTGATTGTTTCTAAGCAACGAAGGTTTGCTCAATCACTAGTATGAATGACTTATCTTTTTACCCAGGCATGAAATTAAAATGTAGAATTAAACGACTACTGGCCGTCCGATGATCAGAGTCTAATGGTCAAAATGTCCCCCCCCACCACCCCCCCCCCCCCCCCCCAATCCCATCCTAAAATCCTAAAGTTAGCACTGAAGGGCATTGACGGGTATGGTGAGTGAAATCGTTGAACAAGGCGTGTAGAAGCTTGGAGTGAAAGAACATGACAATGACAGAAAGGAGAACGTCTCGGCGGAAAGCCTTCTTAGGCAGACGGGACAAAACAAGAAAGAGAGAAAAAAAGAAATAGAAATGTGTTAAAAACTGTTTTTCAGTAGTTCGCTGTGATGTGGATCAACTGTAGTTAAAACGCTAATTTTTAAGCGGGAAAAAAGGGGTGGGTGGGGGTGGGGTTTTGGGATTTTCAACCCTTTATCTAATTTCCCCATCACCTACCACCCAAACCCATATCTCCCCTCTCCCAGCACACCCGAGCTGTAACTCTGCGTGGAAAAACTCAGATGCGACCTTACAGGTCAGCACGAGACACGCTGGATCAAACCGAGCGATAAGGTCACGTCTGACAACCGAAATATGCTACAAACTAACAACCTCAGGGGTTTGCGAGTGGAAAGAAAGTCTTTAAACAAAAAACAATATTTCTTCTTTAACATTCTTTTTAAATGTCTATTGAAGAGATAGGAGGCAACGGGCGTCCCGTGGAGCCCCATAGTGTTGTCTGAAGTTGTGTTAGATTGACAGCTCTGTGGTTTGGGTCAAGGATTGGAAGATGTCATAAGGAGGGTTTCTTTCAGCTATATCTCCGTGGGGAGGGGGGCACTACACCCTCCACCCCACGGGAAGGCCAAGTGCCCCCCCCGGAGCAAAAATATGTCCAACAATAAATCAACTGGCACTGCTCCCCACACCCCGAAAAATCTGAAATGACCGCCACCCAGGGGAATATTTCTAAAATTATCTCTGGTCATAAGTGGTTATTCCAAAAAATCCCCCGACTGAGTAAACTAATTGATCGAAGCTAATTAATCAACAATCTTGATGCATACATTTATGACATGAACACGGTAGGTACATATAAACACAGCGCAATTTATGACATGAACATGGCATCTGAATATGAACATAATGCAATCATATACTTTTTTTTTCCTCAGACTCGATGTCTTTGGTTTTCTTTCCACTGAAGATGAAATAATTCCTGGCAATTTTGGTCTGCTGGACCAAATATTGGCACTCGAGTGGATCAAGGTTAGTTTACAATGAAAGTATTGGACTTTATAATTGGCCCACTCTTAAATACTTGGGGAATCTGTTAAATTTGTATATTTTAAAAATAATAATAATTTAAATTTGAAAATAACGATTACATTTGTGTCTGCCAAGTCAAATGTGGAGAATTTCGGAGGTAACCCGGGAAAAATCACCATCTTTGGAGGAAGTGCTGGGGCTGTTAGTGCATCCATCTTGACCCTATCTCCTCTCACCAGGGGGCGCTTTCAGGGAGTAAGTGAAATTTGATCACGTTATTCACTTTCGTTAACGAAACAATTAATAAAAACACACAAACTATCTGAATGGTGATAAATAATTTATGTGAAATAACCTTTTTTGTATACACAATAATATATTTTTTTTAAAATCTTAAGATTTTTTTATGTAATCATAAATAAGTGAATATTATTCCCCCTCTCTCCAGGCCATCTTACAGTCAGGTGTGGCCAGTTGTGGCTGGGGCTACCATCACCCGGATAGCAGTTTTGCCAAGCCCCGGGTGACTGCCACAGAGTTGGGTCGCATGTTAAACTGCACCCTCCCAACTGAAGTGTTCTCCCAGAAACTTTTAGAGTGTCTTAGAGCCGTACCGGCGGAGCTTCTGGTCAATCAGAGTGTCACGCTACAGGTGAATAAAGGTTCAGCGACAAGTAAATAGAAATATTACAGACATGTTACTCGTGGCTACCTGAAAGACGATTTTGTGTTAAATAAATTGATACCCGGTCACATGATATTTTAATCTAAAGTGAAATACAGGCCGGGAGGTACATGTTGATACATACAAAATATTTCCTGGCAGATTATAGACGATTTGGTATTTTTTAAAATATTAAAATAATAACAAGATTTTGTTTTTTCACATTTAATTGACAGATGGGCAAATATAAAGGGAACTCACTCTTCTATCCGGTCATTGAAAACAGTTTCGGTGTTCTCCCCGAATCTCCATCCAAACTGCTGCACAAGATGGACAGGAAGTACTACATCCCAACGATCTACGGCTACACGAAGGAGGACGGTTCTTGGCTGGTCAGTGACCCCGAAAATGATGGGGTCAGTTTGGCAGAGTTTAAGGCCACCATCGAGGGCTTCGTCAGCGTCTTGTACCCAGAGAAATATCAGCGATCTGTGGTCGACAAGGCCATGAAGGGCTACCTGCCTGCTAACGCCACGTCCTTGTCCAAGTTTCATCTCCGCGACATTCTCATCCGGGCAGCCACCGACGGTTTCGTTGCCGCCGGCACGGTCAGAGAAGCCACGCTTTTCAGCGCCGGTGTGGAGAGGTCAAGGACGTTTGTGTACGAGTTCAACCACAGGCCGAGTTACTCGCGGGCACCACCGTGGATGGGGGTGGGGCACACCGACGAGAAAGGTTTTGTCCTGGGACTTCCTGTTGGCCCCGACCCGTTCAAATACCCCGACCATTCCTCGGAGGACGCCACGGTGGCGGACTTTGTCGTGACAGCTTGGACCAACTTTGCCAAATTTGCTAACCCGTCTCACCCTCTCTGGCCGGCGTTTCGTCCATCGACGTCAGACATGGAGATATTGGTGATAGAAAATCGGTCGCATCACATAATGTTTAACCGGCAACTCGCCCTCGATGTTTGGGTTGTAGAGGACTTCCTGGCAAACGACGGGGTTGGGATCCCACACAAGACATGGTTATTTTTTATGTGCCCATTAGTGCTACTGTATGTTATCTTCACGTGTTAAATTAAGTTAGACATTTCTGGTGTTTGTGAAGTGGCGCGACTTTTCCGTCGTGTGAGCTAAACGATAAATGTATTGGTCTGTAAGATAGCAATATTAAATTGTTGTAAGATGTCTGTACCGTTGTTTATCATTAATTACTAAGAGCATATGACCTGATGTTACCGGGATAATAATGTTAGGCCTTTTGCTATACTTTCGACCGGCGAACTGCAATTGTGGAGTCTCAACACTTTCGTCTATACCTGAAACTGATTTTGATGTTTTGTGTGCGCATTTAAAAAAAAAAAAAAAAAAAAAAAATATTTTACATCATTTAAATATAAAATAATTAATAATGTTAGGCCTTTTGCTATACTTTCGACCGGCGAACTGCAATTGTGGAGTCTCAACACTTTCGTCTATACCTGAAACTGATTTTGATGTTTTGTGTGCGCATTTAAAAAAAAAAAAAAAAGACAATATTTCACGTCATTTAAATGTAAATTCAGTAAATAGGTCATCAGAATTCCCAATTGTAAAAAATTACGTTTCTAAAGATCGTTTAGTTTTGAGAAATATTGATCTCCTAAGTAATATTGGCCTACCTCAGCCCTTGTCGTGCCCCAACCTACAATTATTTTGCTCTGAAAATTGTAGAAGTGTGTTCTTAAAATTTGCATCATAAAACAAATATACCATTTTAAGTACCTTTTACATTAACGGAATTTGATATATTGGTATCTTCATAAAAATGGAACCAAACTTTTGCCTCGCTTCTCTCCTACATTATCGGATAATCAAAAATAAATAATTCTTTTATCTAAAAAAAGAATCTCTTAACCCAGGGGTAGGCAAACTACGGCCCGCGGGCCGCATGTGGCCCGGCATATGCATTATGCTGCCTTCGAAGACATTTTTAGAAATGTGAAAAAATACTTTTTTAAAAAGTTATTTTGTTGAATTTACAGAATTTCATGTAATGTTATGATTCTTAAACATTTTTGATCACATTTCTGACTTTCAATTTTTTTAAACCATCCTTGACTTTTTTCATGTAATGCTAAAATGCGAATTTACCAATTTTAATATGGAGAAGTGTTTATAGACATGTAAAAATTGGACATAATATACAGGCCCCTCCCCCCCCTCCCCAATATCTTTACATTTGTATATGTGGTCCTCCCCACAAAAAAGTTTGCCCACCCCTGTCCTTAACCCATTGTTGTACATTTTAGGACACATTTTTACAATTTTCAAAGAGAACAAATTTTACTTCATGGGCGCGAAAAGGGGTGATTTAGCCAATCTTACACAGAAGATAAATACTTGTCAAAACTTGGAAATGACAAACAGTGAGTGAAGCTTGTTATGTAAAACGTGTGTGAGTGAACTTAAATTCTTGTTGGAAAATTAGGCTGATCTAAACTTGGAAATGACAGACAAGCAGCGAATAGAAATGATAATATGTTAACACTTATCCTTTGTCGACACCCATTTATTTTACCATGTGGTACATCAATAAGAAAAATATTAGAACAAGTTGGTACTTATTGTATGGAATGTTGAGTTGGTCAGCTGGGGACTGACCAATGGCTGGACATTAAAACACATTTAACCACTGGTTCTCACTCCCTCCACTTTATAACATCAGTCTTAGAGGCATGATAAAAAATAACACAACATTTTAATAGAACATTTTACATAAATTAATTTAAACATCATTATGCATTTATTTTACCACTGACATTCGGAGCTCGTGTCTCCATAACAGTGATGAATTTTTTTTTTCAGCAAATTCAGTCAATATTATATCTTTAAAACAAATGGTAGGTCAGATAAATCAATTTCCATAACATCCAGACAATAAAAGAAGCAGAATTCTATCTTTGTATCTTTATAACATTCAGTCATCAAAAGCAGCCAAATTCTATCTTTATATCTCTGTAACATTCAGTCATCAAAAGCAGCCAAATTATATCTCTATATCTCTGTAACATTCAGTCATCAAAAGCAGCCACATTCTTTCTTTATATCTCTGTAACATTCAGTCATCAAAAGCAGCCACATTCTTTCTTTATATCTCTGTAACATTCAGTCATCAAAAGCAGCCACATTCTTTCTTTATATCTCTGTAACATTCAGTCATCAAAAGCAGCCACATTCTTTCTTTATATCTCTGTAACATTCAGTCATCAAAAGCAGCCACATTCTTTCTTTATATCTCTGTAACATTCAGTCATCAAAAGCAGCCACATTCTTTCTTTATATCTCTGTAACATTCAGTCATCAAAAGCAGCCACATTCTATCTTTATATCTCTGTAACATTCAGTCATCAAAAGCAGCCACATTCTTTCTTTATATCTCTGTAACATTCAGTCATCAAAAGCAGCCACATTCTTTCTTTATATCTCTGTAACATTCAGTCATCAAAAGCAGCCAGATTCTATCTCTAAATGCCTAAGGCATCCAATCAAGCAAACACAGCAACTTTCCCAGTAGGCAATGCGAAACACGGGTTGGTCCGCTTCTTTCAAGTGTTACCCACACCCAGTGTTTCATGTTTTCTATCGCTCAACCAATCACAGTCTAAACCCCTTGTCATTCTTTTTCAGCTTCCAAACAAATTATACAAAGTCTAAATTTAGAATTACTTTTAAGATGAGACAAAACAACCTAAGACTTATTAAACACAACGACTCCCATGCTCATCAGACATACGACTTATTAAACACAACATCTCCCCTGCCCATCAAACTTACAACTTATCAAACACAACATGTCGCCTGCCCATCAAACTTACAACTCATTAAACACAACATATCCATGCCCATCAAACTTACAACTTATTAAACACAACATATCAATGCCCATCAAACTTACAATTTATTAAACACAACATCTCGCCTGCCCATCCAACTTACAACTTATTAAACACAACATCTCGCCTGCCCATCAAACCATCCAGCAGTTGATGCGCCAGGTAGAAGCCCCTGGCTTGGAGATATTCTGCAATCTGCACGTAATTGTCAGCGTTCCCGTGGTCTCGTAACTCTAGGCTGATAATCTTGATGGTGTAGTTCTTGAAGTCAATGGATTTAATCAGTTCGAACTCTCCACCGTGGAGGCTGACGATCAATAAGTCAATGTGTTGGCGATTGATCAGCCTAAAAAACTCCTGCGGTTCGACCTCTACTTCGGACAGGGAAGTAAGCTGAAGGAAAAAAAAAAAAGAAGCTTAGTAATCGTTACTGAAAAAGTTAGACGTTGTTATCAGTGAATAAGGGTTAAATTTTAGTTAGGTGAAATTTCTGTGCATTTTAATGCTTGTCCACTAATAGAAAATATTTGTGCCTTGAAAGGTACAAAAGTGTGTGTGTGTGGAGGGGAAAGAAAAAAAAAAGGGGGGGGGGTGTCTTCAGTGTACGTTGTTCAACGATGGCCAAGTTAAGGAAACTCTGGATAGCTGTTATTTCATTAAATTTATTAATGCTTGTCCACTAATAGAAAATATTTGTGCCTTGAAAGGTACAAAAGTGTGTGTGTGGAGGGGAAAGAAAAAAAAAAGGGGGGGGGGGTGTCTTCAGTGTACGTTGTTCAACGATGGCCAAGTTAAGATAACTCTGGATAGCTGTTATTTCATTAAATTTATTTTGGCTAAGTCCCTCGAGCAGACCGTTAACGTAATCTGCAATGGAAATTATGGTCACTGGACATTTCCTGTTTTTAATTTGTAATTGTAGTTTTCAAATGTGCTGGAAGTAGCGGGACAGATTGGTACATAAATAGTGATCCTAAGTGTTACTTACGTAAAGATTTTTTACCTAAAGATTGGTAAGTAAAGATTATTACGCAAAGAGTGGTACGTAGATAGTGGTACATAAAGATTGATGCATAAAAGAGTGTTAGGTAAAGAGTGGTAATTAGAATCCAAAAGTTTGAATAACCTAATTACCCTTTTATCATGTTCTGGAGACTGTTACTTCCACATTGTTGTTTACACTTAATCACGGGTTCTTAAAATGTGGACCATGAAAGGGGTCAGTGGTCCTTGAGCTGGACTGGCTTTGTTATTTAATTATATTCATTAAAAACTTAATTCTAAGACGGATTCCGTGCATTTCATCTGATTTGAAAAGGGGTCCATGGATCCAAAAAAATATTTTAAAAAATTTGAACGTATCTATGTTATCAAAGAAAGCTTAGTAAGAATATACACCAAACTTTGAGATGTTTAGTATCTTAACAAAATGAACCATTTGACACAACGATAGAAAAAAATAAAAAATAAATATGAAACATCCTCGACCTTCCTGGAGTCGCCGTCGAGTCGAAGCCTGACATTCCACAAGATGGCGCGCCTGTTCTTCTTGACCAGCTGCTTGTACTGCTCCTCGTCCGCCTCCACCAACACCCCCTCCCAGTGACGCTCCCTCTCAAAGAATAAGCTCACAGAGTTCGTCTCCCCGTCCCCAGCACCAAGGTCAAGGAAAAAGCCATTTTCCTGTTCACAGACATAAACAAAAGCAATTTAAAAAATAAAAAATAAAATATTTTCAACAGTTTTCCCCCCAGTGCTCTCGTCGTAGCATTACAAGGGACATTTTAACATCAGACATATCTTTTAACATCGGGGTAGCATTGCAAGGGACATTTTAACATCAGACATGTCTTTTTACATCGTCATAGCATTGCAAGGGACATTTTAACATCAGACATGTCTTTTAACATCGTCATAGCATTACAAGGGATATTTTAACATCAGACATGTCTTTTAACATCGTCATAGCATTACAAGTGACATTTTAACATCAGACATGTCTTTTAACATCGTCATAGCATTACAAGGGACATTTTAACATCAGACATGTCTTTTAACATCGTCATAGCATTACAAGGGACATTTTAACATCAGACATGTCTTTTAACATCGTCATAGCATTACAAGGGACATTTTAACATCAGACATGTCTTTTAACAGTATCATCCCTAGATGACACCAGAACTGTCAGCATGCGAAGTTTTCAATTAAATGTATATATATATGCTTATCTGCCTATTGAATCAGGGGTTCTTGACCTTTTGGCGGCGCAGCAA